TTTGAGGAAGAATGTTTGAGCAATGCGAATTATTTAACATTAAATTTGATGCCTTAGGCAGCTAGAATATCTCCTTCTCTGAAAATCTTTAGACATAGGACAGTCTCTTATTTTTATGGGTTAGTTTATAAGCAGTCTTTTCGGCAATGAATACATGAAACAGCTTCAAAATTACATGTTTAATCGGATACAAATTTTTTATTATAGATATGAATGAGATGTCTTCCCATATTTATCACAATAAATATTAAAATATCTGTTTTAGAAGTGATTGTTATAGTCAACTGTGAAATTACATTTATCTTTTTTTAAAAAACTAGGAAATCGTCTATTAATCAACTGGGCAATCCTGTCATTTACAACTGTCTTGATTTCAGTGACTCTGTTTCTTTAGTTGCAAAATATTCAAATCTGGCCTTGAAGCATATTTGCAGGCTAGTATTCTACCCAACTGGGAGATCTTAGAAAAAAAAAAGTTTGACTTCATTGGCACCTCAGAACAAATTTTCTAAGAAGAGTAGAGAGACATCACAGCTTGTCCCTTCATTCCCCTGTCCACACTGGCTCAGCAGGTGTTTGCCACCAGTGGGGCTGAAGTTACAAAGGAGGAATTTGTAATCACTTTGTTATTTGTTCCCCAGTTTTAAATCACAAAAGCAGATAAATGGGGGGAAAGTCAATTTCTCTGGAACCAGTTCCACTACTGCTAGTTAAACTCTGCTGCAAGAGGGGTGAACCTTTATAGAAGCATGCTTTTTTTTTTTGGTAGCTGGAATTTTTTAATATGGTCTTTTTTCAAGAATTTAGATGAGTACCAATGTCCAAAGATAAAGGTACTGCTTCTGAAACATAAATATTTTGAATGATTTTTATATCCTCTTCCCTTTGGTTTATGGCTTGGTTTATTTTTAAATTACTGGTAATGATTTACATTTTAAAATAATTACATCTAAAAATAGTTTATTTTATTTTATTTTATCCTCACCCGAGGACATTCTTCCATTTTTTGTTCAGATAGAGTGGGAGGCGGGGGGGGGGGGGGGGGAGGACATCGACGTGAAAGGGACACACCAATGTGGTTGCCACCTGCACGACCCAGCCAGGGCCGGGGACAAACTGCAACCAAGGTACATGCCCTTAGTGGGAACCGAACCTGGGTTTCTCTGTACCGCAGGCCGACACTCTAACTGCTGAACCAAACCGGCCAGGGCCTAAAAATAGTTTAAATGGAGTACATTGAAATTGATATTATATATGGGTTTTCCATAATTATTTAAAAATTTCCTTGATGTTAAAAACTGCCCTGCAATGAGAGAGAGCCATTGAATTGATATGGCCTGAGGACCCTCAGTTTCTACCAGCTTGTTGGTTCTTTGTGTCTACATTACAGAGGGCATTGTCCCTGGCCCATGCATTGAAACCTGCAGTCCAGCAAGAAAAATACGAGACAAATGTAAATCATTTAATCATCAATTCGTAATTCAGAGTGTTTTTGGAGGCCAGTTTTATGGGAGGATTTGAGCAGAGCATTGGTTTATTGCTTAGAAGAAATTAAAGAAGTTCTTCCTTCAGTTCTAGGGAAAATTGGGCTAAGGCCAAATTTTGGACAGAAACTCATTTACTAATAGTCACTGAGCATCCACTCATGACAGGCAACAGGTGAGAAACGTGGGTGCGGGCCTGCCCTCGAGAAGCTCATGGTTTAATGGGAAAGACAGACATGCAAAACAGCCAAGTTCAGAGTGCTGTGGGGTCTGTGGTTAGAGGGAGATTGATTCTGTGTGATGGGTCCCTAAAGCTTTCACACATAATGTCTGAGCACTTGTTATGTGTCAGACGCTGTACTGGACATTGGAGACAAAACACCAGCCCCATAGTCTTTGCTGGGAGAGGACCTGGCTCTGTGTGTGTTGGTTGGGGAAGGATAAGAGCACACATTTCATTTGGGACATCTTGACTTTGATGGCCTTTTGGCACATCCAGGTGGCAGGAAGGCAATTGGATGGATGAGACCAGAGCTTAGGGAGAGGGCTGGGCTGGGAGCTAGTGTGAGTGGGGTCCGTGAAGCCGTGGGCATGACTATGGTCTAGAGAGAGAAGAGGGCCTCAGGCCAAGCCTGGAAGAGGAGCCAGCACCAGTCTAAGAAACTGGGGGTGGGAGTGGCAGAGACTGATGCACCCGCCGTGGCCGAGCTCCTTACCAGACTTTCAGTCTTGTTCTCCAAGTCCCCAGTTCACATAAGCCTTGTCTCATTGGAAGTGATTAGGCATGAAAGGAACTTGAAATAGTAGAGATTTTAAAAATCTGATTTCATGTTGTATCAGTGTTCTTCAGTTATCTGTGACACACTTGTTCCGAAACAGAGTAACTCCCTCCATCATTGCTTGACAGCTAGACTGTTAGTGCCGGTTTTTGCCGTCTCTCAAATTTTATAGGGTATTATCTTCCCAGTAGAGCTTTGGTTAGAACTAGTTAATGTTGGGAATTAGTGTGTGTGGAGGGGGTGGCTTTTTGTTCCATTTGCCTAAATGTAATGTTAAACACTGGTAATTCATTAAGTCATTAGTCCTTTATTCAAGAATTAGGTGTCTTCTGTTGTCTGGTATCTGTTTCTTTAAAATGAAAAAAAAAAAAAATGTGAGTGTTAGAAGATGCTTCAATGCAGAGGTATTTCCTCCCTCCCTTCACAAATACTTCCTGCCATGTGCCTTCTGCTATGACACACCCTGGGAGATGGTGGCCCAGTCCTCATAAGCTGACAGTCTAGTGTGGGGACCAGAAATCAAATAATCATGGTGAAGGTGTGAGAGTAGTGATGATTGCACCAATGGAAGACAGTTGTTACTGTGAGAACTGACAGAGGGGTCAGGGAACTCCTTTCCTACATCCTTGGGAAGAGGAAGTGTTTGCTAATGAGCTGTCATTACTAAAAATCAAAGGCATAAAAGGTACGTGACCCCTTCAGCCAGCACCAAGGTACAGAGCTGCTCTTCAGAACATACTTGAACAAATGAGTGAGGATGTGGAAAGGGGTGAAGAAAAGCCTTTGTCACCCATGACATTTGCCTTACAGTGGGGCTCTGACATTTTTTTCTTTTTTTTTTCATTTGAAATATGTGAATCATACATTTCAGTTAAAGTTGCAGGAAGTCACATCTGTAGTCATCCTTTGGAACTGCTTACCACCACCTTCAGTGTCTGCCCTCCTGGAGTTTCAGTGGTGTTCCTGTTGGTTTTGTCTGCTTCTCTTTAAGTGGCATGCACCAGTAAATGCATCACTGCCTCTGGGGGAAAGCAGCGTTAGCCTCTTACTTGTTTTAGCTTTCAGTCATTAAAATATAGATCATTTTTAAAGGAGTACTTGATGGAAATTGATTTATTCTAACAGTTCTATAAATTCTGTGAGCTTATTACTACTTAAATGAATTATATCTTCTATTGCAATTAGGCTTAATCATCAGCATTTTGTCCTAAAGTTATCTTTTGATAATTTTAATTCACTGACTTCATTCACTTAACAAAAAATACTTATTGAGTGTCCACTGTGTACCCAAAGCTCTTTAGGTACCAGGGGTACAGCTGTGAATTGTCTTTATCCCCAAGTTTAGTGTCACAATCTTAAAAGCAAAAAGAGGCAAGGATGTAAAAAACCTTAATAAATTCTGGTCTTTCTAGTCAGATAGCCCTGGTTTGACCACTTGACAACTTGACCTCTCCCAAGTTGTCTCTGTGTCTGCAAAATGGAAATAGTTTGCTTGCTTGTCACAGTGAGTAACAAATCTCATTAGACACAAAAGACAGAAAGTTTTAATGGCAACAGATGCAGAGACCACCAAGGCCTGCTTTCTAGGCCCCGGGTTCCCCTCGTTACAACCAGCTGGATGGCCCCACTGTCAGGGAACTTCCAGCCTCTGAGATGCTCTGGTGCTGCTCGGGGGGGGTTGGGGGGGGATCCCCCACCCGCCTTCCTCTCTCTGCCTTGTACCTGTCCCATCCCCTAGACCAGTCCTGAGTGTGTGCTTCCAGACCTGGGACCTGAGGGGCATTCCCTAGGGCCAGCCTCAGCACACCAAGGCCTTGGCCCATCTGAGCTTCACTCCATCATTGCTGGTACTTAACTCACAGGATTATTTTGACAATGAGGTAGAGATTTTGGTATAGTGCCTTGCACAAAGTCAGCATTCAGTGAAGGTATTAATTGTTAATACATTATAACATTATTAATTAATACCATTGTTATTCGCAGTGAAATAAAACATTAGACAAACTATTTCAGGAGCATCTTCTTTTCCAAATGTGGTTAGATAGCAGCTTACATACCCAAATGTATTTTCTCTTAGCTCAAACACACACACTTCTATTTTGTCCTCTAAATTTGAGAAATTCTTAACAACAAACCTCTGCTGATTCTTTATTTTCCAGAAAAATATTATCCTTTTCTTAACCCTCCTCCTACAACCTGAGAAAACAAAACAACCCACAAAAAGTGAAACTGGGATTTGTTCATATTATTTGATAATGTCCACAACATAATGAATATATTTATTGTGCTGCTAGTCACATTTCAGTATTAGAGGACTAAAACTCTTGCAATAACAACCAGCTAAATTTTCACTACTTAATGCTTTGTGTATCCCTTCAGTTTCTTAACTGGTCTGTTTGTTTAGCTTTATTGTTGAAAATATTACAGATGCCCCTCCTTTCCTCCTCCACTGACACCCTCCTCCCCACTCTTGCCCCCCAGCCTCACTGCACTGCTGTCTGTGTCCATTGGTTATGCATATGTGCATGTAAGTTCTTTGGTTTATCTCTCTTCCCCAAACCCCTTCCCTCTGAGGTCTGCCAGCCTGTTCCCTACTTCCATGTCTCTGGATCTATACGGGTCTTTGTTTTTAGCTCTAAATATATTTTGTTCTTCTAAACAACTTGCAGGGGTGAGATTTCTGGGAAAGGGAGGCCTTTGCTCCCCGTCCATCAGCAGTCCTGGTCCTCACTTGCAGGTACTGTTTGGCACGGCCGACGGGCAGGTGATCGTCATGGACTGCCACGGCAGGATGCTGGCGCACGTCCTCCTGCACGAGTCGGACGGCATCCTCAGCATGTCCTGGAACTACCCTGCTTTCCTGGTGGAGGACAGCAGCGAGAGCGACACAGACTCCGACGACTACTCCCCGCCCCAAGGTAGCTCACTGCTCCACAGGGACAAGCACAAGGAGGGCACTGAACCCATTTAGAGGAGGAGGGGTAAAGGCCTGCCACAGGCACAGCACCCTAACTCACTGGGAAGGTGCGTGAACTGAAGTGCAAAGCCGGTCAGCCTAATCCCTGTTCTCGATTTGACTGTCTTCTCTCTGCCATCCCCTTCTCACTATCTGGTCAGGTTGATGAAGCGCCATTGGCTTAGGTTTTTCTACATATACAGGGAGACTTTGTGACTCTTTCTGTGTCCCTGGGAGTAGTAAGAGTAAAGAGAGCTGAAGATTGCCCTGGCTAGTTTGGCTCAGCAGTAGAGCGTCAGCCCATGGACCAATGAGTCGCAGATTCAATTCCGGTCAAGGGCACGTACCTCGGTTGTGGTTTGTCCCTGACCCTGGTCGGGGTCGTGCAGAAGGCAACCAGTCGATGTGTCCCTCTCATGTCGAGGTATCTCTTTCCCTTTCTCTTCCATTCTCTCCTTTCCTCTCCCTCACACTTTATCTGAAGATAAATAGAAAAATATCCTAAGGTGAGGATTAAAAATAAGAGAGAGAGAAGGAGCTGAAGATGAAGCATGATGTACTAGTACAATAACTTAGTATGCGGCGTTCCGCATCCCTAGTGTTGTTAAAGCCCATAGCTTTAGTTGTGTTAGAAAATGGTTAATAGTTCTGCCCTTAATGAAGGGCAGCATGTTGGGCAGACATCCTAGTCCCTGTCTTTATTTGAGGCAGAAGCTCTTCCCTCTCTCAATTCAGAAGAACCTGCCTTCCCACACCCTTACCTCCACCCTCAGCCCTCAAGCCTCACAGTGATATTAAACCAGATTCGCTGGCATCTGAGTTTCTACACATTTGAACCAGCAATGAAAGATCGTTTCAGACATGGTGGGGATGATTTTGAACTTCAGCCTCCTTCACCTCATGCACTGTCTTACCTTCAGCTGTGTGAGAGACCCAGCGAAAGGCACACCTTTGATGTTGGTGAAGCCATTCCTATCCAGTGTCAGTGCTCAGCACTGGCCTGCCCAGGACCCTGGCTCTTCCCCGATGTCCGACCCCTGCAACCACCTCTTTTTATTACAAAATGAAACTGTGGAATGAAATAGTGGGAGGGATGGCTGCCTGCTTAGAAGTGGTCCACTGCTGCAGGACCTCTGCCCCCAGGCTGGACAGCTGTGCTCCCACTGCATGCTGGGTGCCCTGGGTGGTCTCAGGGTGCATGTGGACAATCTCTGCCCTTTCCTGTGACTGGGGGGCGCTCTCATCCCATGGAGGGCTGGTCTACGGGACATCCTTAAAGAGTACCCCATATCAGTTCCTGCCCCACGGGGACCTGGAGTGCCCTCACTTTGTCTTCTTCCTGCCCCAGATGTGATAATATATTATGCTTCCCAGAGAATACACACACACATTTATTTGTGTGTGTGTGTGTGTGTTTATTTATTTTAGGAGAAGATGTTTGCACATGAAAAAAAATGTAAATCAATGGTAGTGTTTTAGGATAGGTGGGTCTTGAGGGAGAGTGTTCTTAGCACCCACAGATCCACTGGGGGAAGTAACCATGCCTTTTGCTACTAGGACCCAGCCTTGAATGAAGTGTTGATAATTTTTTCATCCTCGCAGTAATAAAATCAGTGTCTTAAAACATTGTACTTACGCCCTGGCCGGTCTGGCTCAGCGGTTAGAGCATCAGCCCGTGGACCAATGAGTCACTGGTTTGATTCTGGTCAAGGGCATGTACCTCGGTCATGGTTTGTCTCTGGCCCTGGTCAGGGTTGCGTGGGAGGCAACTGGTTGGTATATCTCTCTCACATTGATGTTTCTCTCTCTCTCCCTCCCTCCCACTCTATCTGAAGATAAATAGAAAGGTATCCTCGGGTGAGGATTTAAAAAACAAAAACAAAAAACATTACACCCAACATGTATCTAAAACAGAACTTTACCAGAGCGAATGCAGATGTACTGACCCCCAGTTATTACTGTGTGAAACAAGATCCAGAGACCAAGCTTTTGAAGCAAATGTAGAGTAAGTGTAAGGATAGAATTCAGTGCCTGGTGCTGCTCTAACCAGTTGCCTTTCTCAGAAGCAATGGGATGATTTGGAGATAATGGAATTTACTTTTCACATAGAGCAGCGCTTTCCTGGTAGCCATGGGAGTTTGAATGCAGAGGTAGGTACCTGCAGCATGTTAAGGTGAAGCAAAGGAGAGCAGTAACTTGGGGTCCAGGGCTGAGTTAGGGTGAGCCGGCAGATGTCAGGCAATCCACCTGGCAGGCTTCCAGAAGTGAGCTCAGTGTAGGTGTAATGCCTGCAGGAGTCTTCTGAGAGAGCCCTGATTCACCCTGGCCCAGGGGAGGGACTGACTTTTACTTTCTGTAACATGTGAAAGAATCCAGAAGGTGATCTATCATGGCTCCTTTCTTAACATCCAATGTGTACGTACTGCTTGAATTTATAAAGCAATATTTTTTTTGTATTGTACTACGGGGCAGCGTAGCAGAATTATCTGAGCCACATCCAACTTCAGCCTTCTCTCCGCATTTAGGGTCTCTTAGGTTAAAAACTTAGCTAAGAACTCATGGCAGCTGCTGTGGCTGCTCATATCCTGTAATGTTAAAAAAAATAAAAGAGTATTTAGTGTTGAAGAGCCACTTTTCTCTGTATGTTGGACCAGGATTAAGAAAACATTTTCATCCCTCTTTTCACCTTTCTTATACAGGGTAGGACAAAAGTAGGTTTACAGTTGTGAGTATGCAAAAACAGTTTATTCTTGTATTATTATTTATTAATTATTATATTATTCTCCATAAGAACAACTGTAAACTTACTTTTACCCCACCCTGTATGTTGTATGACATTCAAATAATTTATTTTTACACATCATTAGAAGCATAGAACACATTAGCACCCAGTTAATAAACCTCTCACACATTTTCACCACTGCATATCCCAGGGTTCTCTGGTGAGCACTGTCTCTGGGATATATGGTTTGGAGTGGTGTAGAATGGTGCTTTATTTAGTAACATCCCAGTCCAGAGTCTGATCTGCATTGCTGGGCAATTTTCAAGACCCTCCACAATATTGCATTGTTGTTGCCCTGGATTTGGGTCATGTGCTCATTGTCTCTTTTTCACTCAGCACTTTTGTCCCCACAGATGGTCCAGCAGCATATCCCATCCCGGTGCAAAACATCAAGCCACTGCTCACTGTCAGTTTTACTTCGGGGGACATCAGCTTAATGAACAATTACGATGACTTGTCTCCTACTGTCATCCGCTCAGGACTGAAAGGTACAGAGGCTACATATGACCCCAGGCCCAGGGATCAGCCTTCCAGACTGGATGCTGTATACCCAGTACTTAATGATTCTCAGTGACCTCCTTCTGACCTAAGGGAGTCTGTTAGTAAAGGCCCATTTCCTTTTGCTTTTCTGCTATTTGACAAGTTTCTCTAGTCTTGCCTGGAGGAAGGATTCCTGACCGTCAGTCCTCATCTTCACATGCTGTGCTCCCACTAGGACAAGAGTGGTCCTCTCTCTGGTGTATGGTGTGTTTGTCTCTGGCTGACACTGTGTCTGCAGAGTATTGGACAGCAGATGGTGCACAAGACACATTCACAGCAGCCCCTGTAATTTTAAGACTTATTAAGGGACTGATTGTTGTGCAGTAAAGTTACCTGGATAGACTTCTAGAGGTTCCACAATTGCCAGACTGAGGCATTGATATGAAGGTCAGCAGTCAAGTGCTGATACCATCCTCATTGCCATCATGAAATGCTGTCATCTCAAGGGACAGTCCGTGTCCATAGGCATTTGGAGTGTTCTGAATTTTGCAATTCGAGAATACTACTGATGGTGTGACCCTGATGAGTTTTTGGAAAAATAATTCTGTCTTTTTACAGTTGAATGGTGAAAAGTAGAAATTCCTGGGCTGCCTCTGGTCCTTGATGTTCTAGGGACCAGCTATAATCTGAACGGGGACTAGGTCAAACTGGAACATTCAGTTGAACTTGCTACTGTCATTCAAAACTGGCCATCAGACCAGAGAGTGCTGCCCATGTGCTGCTGCATCCCAGCTGAGTCACAGCATGTTCAGGAATCACGGGGAAATAGAGAATCAAGTCCATGTACTTAACTATGGATTGGTTGGACTACATCATACCTGCCAAGTATTTAGTCATTCTGTTTTTAAACTAGAGAATGTTTTTAGAAACAATCTGTACTCCCATCTTTGGGTGTCATGTTTTGCTGTTTCAAAACTATAATTGTAAGAAATTACTTAGCCCAAAGACTTCTGAAGAACATGATCCATATAGAAGTCCTTTATACCACAAATGGGTTCTGTTAGCAGCTGAGTATTTTTTTATGATGGTGATGAACTTAAATTTCTTGTGTTTTTTTTTCCTGAATTTTTCTGTCTGTTGTGGAGCTAAAATATAGGGATGGTCATCATAAAAGATAAATTCTCCCATATATTTAGTAATTTAAGCTCTACGTTTTTCCTTCAAAAATTCTATTTTCAAATCTTTTAACCAAGTTTATTAATTTAATCAGAACCTGCCTTTAGTTCTGGAATTCTGAATATCTAATCAGGATTAGAAAAGAACACAGTTACCACTTAGCTCCTTTTTATTCTTTTTTTTTTTTTTTTTTTTTATCCTCACCCAAGGACATTTTTCGATATTTTGTTCAGATAGAGTGGGAGGGAGGGAGGGAGGGAGGGAGGGAGGGAGGGAGAGAGAGAGAGAGAGAGAGAGAGAGAGAGAGAGAGAGAGAGAGAGAGAAACATCGATGTGAAAGGGACACATCGAGTGGTCGCCACCCACATGACCCAACCAGGGCCGGGGACAAACTGCAACCGAGGTACGTGCCCTTAGCGGGAACCGAACCCGGGTCTCTCCAGACCGCAGGCCAACGCTCCAACTGCTGAGCCAAACTGGCCAGGGCTCCTTTTTATTCTTTATAGGGTGAATTGTTCTGATTTTTTTACTAACTTGCCTACCTTTGGAAACTTTCTTTTTTTTTTTTTCCCTTGGATGTATTATTTTGTTCTCTATTTACCAGACTTGATTGTATTGGAGCAGCATTCCCAACACATTCCCACCAAATCTGTGGAAGATAATTAGAAACACACGTGGCTTGGGGAAGTAGCCTTCCCAAATGTGAAATTTTTTTTTTTTAGGCCTCACCCAAGGATACTTTTCCATTGATTTTCAGATAGAGTGGGAGGGAGGAAGGAAGGGAGAGAGAGAGAAACATCCATGTGAGGGAGACACATCGATTGGTTGCCTCCCACACGACCCCAACCAGGGCCAGGGATCGAACCCACAACCCAGGTACGTGCCCTTGACTGGAATTGAACTCTCAGCTCTGGTCCGTGGACCGACACACCAATCACTGAACCAAACCAGCCAGGGTGCAAATGTGAAATTTTTTGACTCACATTTTTTTCTAACTCATACCCTAGATCCACTTAGTCTTTTTTAGTTGCTGTTTCAAAGAAATATCATCAGAGAACTTCCAGTAGGAAAGATGACTTATGATATTTAGATTATCCCCAGTACTGTAATTATGTCATGTGGGAAAAAACTTAGAATGCCCAATAGCTTATGGTGCCCGCAACCAGCCCTTTTCCTCACCACCTATCACACTTTGTCTTCATTGCAGATTCATATGAGTGTTTATAGGGGTGGAGAATGATTTTGCTTTGCAGATGTTTCCTGAGCATGTTGTGTCTTGAAGAAAAATCTGAGGATCCCAGATTTGGGGACTTCTTTTTATCATACAATGAACATAAATTAGTTCACCTTATTTCGGGGTTTTACCCTTTGTTGTGACTTTTACTCTTTCTTTCTTGAGGATGTAGGGGACGAAAAATGTTTTCTTCTACCCATCTGAGGTTCTGCAACTGGGGTCCTGTAAATTAGACTAAGGAAAGACTGATTGTCAAGAGAACAGCAAACAGGAGTGTATTAACTCTGGCATTTCACTTACCCATGGAAGCACTCAGAGATGAATATCTCAAAGGGGTGGTAGGATGTGGGATAATACAACATGTTAACAAAAGAATGATACATTTTAGAGAAGCGACAAAATAAAGAAAAAGGACTGAGTTTGTAGGGCAGCAAATTGTGGGAACTAATTGAAGATAAGGACTAGTTCATAGTTGTTTTAGAGATTCTTCTGTTGCCTTCTCTGGGTTCATAAGGGTCTAAAGTTGTCTCCAGTGATTAATTTATGTCCTTCCTGGTGGGAGGTCATGCACGTTTATAAATTTATGTCTTGCTTTTAGGTAGTCGGGGAAAGCAGACAGCTTGTCTTGTATCTGCTACTTCTCACAATAATCTTTATGCCAATGGAGCATATTTTGAATGGCATATTGTGCTACTTTCAAAAAACTAATTTAGCCAGGGGTTCTGAAATTCTCTGACCAAGCCAGCGCATCTCTGGTGGGAAAGCTAGGGAAGCAGGCCTTCAGAAGCATGTCTCACTTCACCCCACATTGCCTTCAAATAAAGGAGTTCAGACTCTGGGCTTTGTTTTGTTTCTCTGTTTTGCAGGATTTCCTCTTTTTATCATTCATTGAGCACACAGAGAAAGTCAAGAGGGGGTTTTTGAGGTAGAAAGGTTTTGGTCAGTGGAGCTAACTAGTCCCACAGTTTGGGCTGATAAGATTTCCTCATCGACAATGATATTTTTTTTTTCAGTCCTCTGCTCACTAAAAGCACTCATATTAAAGGAAAGAAATGTACCTGTTATTTTACCATTACATGTTTCACTGCATAATTTGTTTCTCCTTTTCTCTATGTATACAGATGTGTGTGCGGACATACATGTATGTGTGTGTGCGTGTGCGCACACACAAGTACACATATATCTAATGACTAATAAAAAGACAACTCATGAACACAGACATTTAAGGGAAAAAGGCCTAAGTGAATCTCAGACTCGAGCCAGCAGCTCCGGGACATGTGATGTGTGGTAGGAATGCGGTTCTTTTTCCACTAATGCGTGGCTGCCTCTTTTTGACCCGGCACCAATACCACACAAGGGGCTCTTATTACCACAGAAGAACCAAATTTTCTTGTCACTAACTACATATAAAGTCTTGACCCTTCAGGCTTTTACTAAAAAAGGATTCATAAGATTGGCTAAAGTAGAACAGTGTAATTTTGCTGATTTTCTTTGTGCAAAATGTTTAAGATGCCAGAAATCCACATGTACCTCACAGTCATCAGGAACGTGGTGCTTTGGGAGGTGGACATCTTGTGTGTGCTGGAGCCCCCCCAGTCTGGAGGCTGCTGAGGGGAGTGGAAGCAGCTCCCTGGGGACGCATCCGTTCATTCCTTCCAGCTTATACTCTAAGACACACTTCTGGAGATTCAGAAATTGAAATTATTACTAAGACATTGGGCAGAGATATTGGGGATTATTTTCTAAAATAAATCTGGCGTAGCTCACAAAATATTTCTGGGACAACAAAGATTCTGTCTTGACCATAGCTGGGCTACTGTATCCTCGCCTCATCTTCATTATAGTGACATCTAGAAATTCAATGAGTGAGTTTTCTTTCATTCTTCTCTAATTTATGAGGACTTTAAACTCCAGTGCTAGGGATTCAGCCCCTTAGAGTATTCCTGTAGCCCTGGTTGAAATTGAACAATCCAAAGTTTTTCTTTCTTAGTCCCACTCATAAATTCTTCACGTCAGGGTGTTATGAGGTAGTCTTATTTCCCCAATTATTGGTGTCCCTGTCATGTGTATCAGGGCTGGTTTATGCTAACTGTCAAAGGTCTCACACATTGCTGTGTTCCTTGATGCTTAGTTGTATAATTGTTAGAATAAGAAATGGCCTTATTACTGTAGAACTTAACACCTTTTAAAAGACTGAATTGCCTTTGTATACTATAACCGTCTCGGGATAACTTTATAACTTTCTAATGCACTCAGAAAGAGTCAGGAAACTAAATGACAAAGATTTATTCAAGGGTTTTAGGGTTTGCAAACTGGAGACACAACTAGGCAATACCCAGACTATTCCAACAGAGAAAGAAAAGTGGAGGGTTCTTAGAGGTAAAAGTATATTTTTGAGAATAATCAGTTCTGCATTCTTAGCCCCTGCCCTGGTCCAAGGTGGTGGTCTTCAGATGTCCAGTGGTTTGGACAATGGAGCAGACCCCAATCCCCACAAGATTATTTATTTATTTATTAGAATTTTTAATTTAAATTTGCTATCACCTTTTATCCCCTCTATGCCCTCTTCCACCTCCAGTCATCTCCCTCCTCCCTTGGAGTACTTTCCTCTTGAGGTCATTCAGATGGTCATCCAGGGGTTTTAATGTATATTCAGGCATTGATGCAGGACTGGAAAGTCCAGAAGGTTAAGTTCCCAAACTAGTTAAAACAGGAATAGAATCATTTCCTCATGCCTCAGCCTACTTTATTGAATAATTTAGCAGCTTGACCATAGCGAGTCCATTTTATGTATTTACTCTATGCCTCAGCTGCACTGAAGAAATCCCTGAGCATTTGCTTGTAAATATTTGGGCTCATTCTTAACTCAGACAGACAGCTCCCACCTAGTAAACAGAATCACCTTGAGTGCTCAGGGCTTGTCTTCAAGCAACCTTGTAATGTGATTGTGTATCTAGGTCAGCCCTACGGGAGCAACAATCCACTTTTCTGTTGGGAAAAGACAAAATGCAAAGAATGTTATTAAAATGAATAAATAACAAAAAGAATGGTGCAGGTATCCACTCACCCACTGATCAAAGAGGGTCAGCTGAGGAGCCTTGGGAATTAAGTGCTGTTGTCTTTATTTCTGCAGTATTGCAATGATGTTCTGCCCTAAACAATGGTAGGCTTTATCTCTTTGTTATTTTCACCTGTTATTATTTTCACCTGTTAATAGCTCCTCCTTTTGACTTCTTTATGTTTCTGAAGGTGCCACCCAAAAAGGTCTTTCAGTTTCACTATCACGACAAGGCCCTTCACTAGAGCGATCGAGGCATTTGGGTACCAGAGCACACTTAGTGTGTACACAAACCCTCTGGCTTCCGCTGCCCTCGTTTTAAATATCTGTTCACCAGGATCTGTATTTGATTCTTTTAAGTTATTTTTCATTTCCTGGTTTGTACTCCACCTTATTCATATCCTATTATATGAAAAAGTGGGAAAAAACTCCTTTCATTGATGCTTTCACTCTCTCAGATTGTAGTTTTTTTCATTTGGTGCTTGTCTGTAACTACTTCCGCTCAGCCCTTTGCTACCTCTGTCTCTAGTTTCTCTCTGCAGCTGACTTGATGAGCAAGCTCTGGCTTCCCTGGGTCTGGAGAGTCATCTTGTCCTAGGGGCCACTGTCCAGTCTTCCAGGGAAGTTAAGTTCCTCAGTGACCTCAGAATGGATGGTACTAATGTCAGCATTAGTACCTCTCATTAAAAAGAGAGATGCTGTGCCCTGGCCAGTTTGGCTCAGCGGTGAGAGCATCAGCCTGCGGTCCAGAGAGACCCGGGTTTGGTTCCCGCTAAGGACACATACCTTGGTTGCAGTTTGTCCCCGGCCCTGGTTGGGTCGTGCGGGAGGCAGCCACTCGATGTGTCCCTTTCACGTAGATGTTTCTCTCTCTCTCTCTCTCTCTCTCTCTCCCTCTCTCTCCCTCCTACTCTGAGCAAAAAAATGGAAAAATGTCCTCAGGTGAGGATAGAAAATTAAAAAAGAGAGATGTTGTGATCACACGTGACCTGTTAGAGCTTAGGAACTGTCAGTTTCTAGACCCAGCTTGTATCTGTGTCCCTGTCCAGGATCTCTGTGTAAGCCACCTATGGTCTTAGGGTCTTGAGGGAGAACAACTATACTATAAATCTTGTTAGTACTAACAGTTTGTTTTACCAGCAAGAATAAGTATCCGGCTCACATTGAGATTAGACAAACAGTTTAATAGCCATTTCTTACAGGCACTGAAAAGCTGGTAGAAGGGCATCACACCTCCAGTGTGGACATTTCTCTAAAAGTATTTATCTTTTTTTCTAAGCCCCACAACATCATCTGCTGTTGAATAACAGTCGGGGCCTTCATGTGCAGATTTATTATTTACCTGAATGTTACGTGCCCAGTGGGGCACAGAAATCAAATGAGTATAAAGTTAGGCTTGGCTCATGACTTACTTTTTACTTTTAGCATTTATAACCTCTTTGAGTCATCTCTTGGGAATGGGGCACAGCAATAGGAAATCACTTAGGACATACAATCATAGGTTTTGTTATCTTGCCTGCTCTCTGAGTTCTGCAAGTGCTGTTATGGAAATGCTGGCATTGGAGAACGTTAACATGCCAGTTCTATCATATATGGTCTTTGCCTGACTGACTTATGTTTCAGGGGAACTTCAGTTCTTATCTAAGTGATAAACACCTGTTTTTAATAGTCTGTATTGTCTTCAGAGAAATAGGTAGAGCCACTGTTGTATTTGCTAAGCATCTGTTTTTTAAACTACTTAAGTGAAAGTTCAGGGAGGGTCATGTTTCAGGCCAACCATTTCTTCTTTGTGATTCCAGAGGTGGTGGCCCAGTGGTGCACGCAGGGAGACCTTCTGGCTGTCGCTGGTATGGAACGGCAAACCCAGCTTGGTGACCTTCCCAACGGCCCTCTCCTGAAGAGTGCCATGGTCAAGTTCTACAATGTTCGTGGGGAGCACATCTTCACACTGGACACACTTGTGCAAGTAAGGATGTGTGGGGGCACTCACTGCAGTGCCCTATGTTAATGTGCCTCCAGTCTCCATGAAGTACTTGTGAGTTGGTTATACTCACTGTAATTGTCTTTGACAGATTTTAATATTTTGTTGACTTTAATTAAATTATGGGATATGAACCAGGAAAAATAAGGAGAAGTACATTTTTTCCTTTTAACCAAAATAGTTTATTTCATTACCCAGTTAAATGAGTGGACAGTAAGCAGAGTGACCTGGTGTTCATCATCAGTCTGAAGTAGAAATCAGAAGTGTGCAGAAGTAAATGCTAGTCTTCGTCTGTTCACTCCGATTCTGTGTTGTCATGTCAGTAGTGTACTTTTATATTCCAACTCAGTCACTGTTAAACAGTTCTTAAAAGCTTAAAGGTCTTTAAGAAAGTCTGCACAGATGTGCCCCTTTCTGTTTGTTTTTATGTTCCAGAAATCTTTAGACTGGTTCATTTCTTGTCTGGGTCAGTTACAGTAGAGGATGAATTCTCAGTGGAGTGTCCTGGACAGAGAGCTGGGAGTTAGCTGACGTTTGAGGGTGGTGATAAACTAGGGATTATGCCCTACCCTTACCCAGCTCATCGGAGAGGCGGGTATACCAGATTAGGGTATTTTGTAATTAGATGCAGACATTAATTATTTAAATAATATCTTTTTTAAAATAATAGTAAAATACACATAACATAAAATTTACCACCTTAACCATTTTTTAAGTGTATAGTTTAGTAGTGTTAAGTGTATTCCATTGTGGTATAACCAATCTCTAGATTGGTAAAATTGAAACTTTATACCATTCTGTTGCTATGAATTTGACTAGTCTATATACTTCATGTAAGTGAAAACACAGTGTTTTGTGACTTCTTTTATTTCACTTAGTATAATGTCCTCAAGATTCATCCATATTATAGCATGTGCCAGAATGTTCTTCTTTTTTAAGGCTAAATAATATGCCACTGTATATATACCCATTCATCCATCAGTGGACATTTGGGTTCCTTCCACCTTTTGGCTCTTAGGGATAATACTGCTGTGAATAAGGGCATACAGATGTGTCTTTGAAACATTGCTTTCATTTAATTTGGATAAATACCCAGTATACTTGCTGGATCATATGGTAGTTCTAGTTCTAATTTTTGGAGGAACTGTCATGCTGTTTTTCATAGTGGCTGCACCATTTTAAATTCCCACCAACAGTGTCCAAAGGTTCTATCTTTTCTACATTCTTGCCAACACCTGTCATTTTCTCTTGTGGTTTTTTTATAGTAGCCGTCCTGCTGGGTATGAGGTTTTGATTTGTATTTCCCTCATTATTATGTTAATCATCTTTTCATGTGCTTTTTCATCTGATTATTGGCCATTTGTGCTTCTTTGGAGAGATATCTTTTCAAGATCCTTGCCAGTTTAATTTAATTTATTTATTCATCTTTAAATATGTTTTTATTGATTTTAGAGAAAGTGGAAGGGAGAGGGATAGAGAGAGAAAAAAAAAACAATATGAGAGAGAAACATCAATTGGTTGCCTCCTTCACGTACCCCAACCAGGGATTAAACCCGTAACCTGGGTATGGCCCTGACTGGCAGTTAACCCTTCAGTGCATGGGACAACTGTCAACCAACTGAGCCACAGTGGCCAGATCTATTTTATTTTCTATTTATTGATTCTAGGGGGTGGGGAAGAGAGAGAAACATTGACTTGTTATTCCACCCATTTATGCATTCATTGGTTGCTTCTTGTATGTGCCCCGACCAGAAATCGAACCTGCAACCTTAGCATATCAGGACAATGTTCTAACCAACTGAGCTGTCCAGCCAGGGCCACCAGTTTTTTTGTTGGATTGCTTGTTTTTTTGTTGTTGAGTTACAGAATTTAAATATATCTTTGACAATGTAGTATCTTCTATGGGCACATAAGCATATTTGTTCACTCATTTGTTGAAGCAGCCAACAAACATATTTTGAGGGGCAGCTGTGTGGCTGGCACTGAGCTCTGAGCTCTAGGTGCTAGTGTCCAGGGCAACGATACAGGGGCCAGTCAAGATAATAAGCTGAAATTAAGTCCCAACCAAAGCGGGAGAGTGTGATTTAAAGTGAATCAGTGCTGTCCATACCTTCTGAACAATCTCTAGAAGCAGAAGTGGTACAGATTGCCTAAAATTAGGATTTGGAAAGATTAATGCAGCAGAAAGGTTTAAAAAAAAATAGAAGATTTAGGAACTACTAGGAATGTTATGAAATCTGAGTAGGTAGGTAGATGCTTTATGACCTAAGACAGGGGTGAAGTCATGATAAAGCATGTTCAAGAGGAGGTGATGAACATAGGATGGGAATCTGTGGTTGGATAGGAAATTCAGATTCCTATTCCTATTTTAGAAGTGAAGTAGTTTTAAGTGATGAAGCAAACAAAACAGGGAAGAGCTAAAATGGAGTTGAGTTGAGGCCATTAGCATGAGGCCAACGAGTGTGGAAAAATAAGCATAGGTACTGGAGTCCCCGCATATTTGGGATTGAAGGAGAGTTAACCTTGTTTACACTTTGACCCTTCTGCCAGTGCATTGCCTGGCACATAGTAGGTGCTCAGTAAATACTGGTTCAGTGAATTGATGGATGGAAAGTTGTCATCATATGCTTTCTTTAGTTCTTTCTGTTGGTTGTATGAACCAGTAGGCTCTGTGCCTTTCTCAGTCAGATCTCATACCAGCTTTCTATGTATAGCCTAATTGTAGGACAAGTAGGAGAGGATGGGAATTTTCAGCTCTTTCTGAGTTAACAAGGCTTTCGTGTTTATTAGAATGTTTGTGAATTGTAGTGCTCAGACACACAAGTGCATGCAACATTGTCCACTGTTCTGTCTGACTCAGGGCACCCTTCCTGGCAGCGTTCTGTTTCCTCTTCAGGGAATATTTCTTTCTGCCATCTCAGCTTGGGAAAATTCTTCTTAATGCAGACCAGTCACATCTTTTGTAAATCTGGCAACTGATTTCGACCCTTCTTCTTTTCTATGTGAACCCTTGGGGTGCTTAATACCTCTGTCATATATTACACTTTTTTGTCTACTTGTTTTATTTTCTTGAAGTCAAAGACCATGTTTTCTTCATTTTTCTGATCTTCATTGTGTCTAGAATATAATGGTCTTAACCAGTGCAAAAATTCTCATCAGCGCTTGGCCGATATGGCTCAGTGGTTGAGTGTCAACCCATGCACCAAGAGGTCGCTGGTTTGCTTTCCATCAGGACACATGCTCAGGTTGTGGGCCCGATCCTCATTGGGGGGCATGCAGGAGATGGAAGTCAATGTTCTCTCTCATCGATGTTTCTGTCTCTCCCTCCCTCTCACTTTCTTTCTACAATCAGTAAAGGAAAAAAAATTCTCATCAGCTTTAGTATGAAATTATTATAGGTCTTGAATTTAAACTGTCTGGGTTTGAGAATAATAGAGGGGCTTGGCTGATCTTTCTTTGGGGAAAATTACCCTTACAGTGTCTCAGCATCTTAATCTTTTTTTTTCCCCATTGGAAGTTTGTTTCAACCATTGAAAAAATTGCCTCAATAATATAAAGTTGAATAATGATGCTATTAAAAATCAAGCACAATATTAATTATATATATATAGCACCAACTTTCTCTTGTCTGGAATGATTCTAAAGTCACATGTTATCTGTGCTATGCTATTTAAGGAGTCCAAAGGCAGGGACATCTTTATAGCAGGAAGGAAATTAGGCAATTTATTGAACTGTTTTTAAAAAGAATTTAATGTAGTTTACATTGGATAATTTATTTCCAAGTTAATTAGATTGTAGGTGATTGTGTACAAAGCCATTCCCAAGCACAAACTTGCGGCAGCCTCGGCTTTAAAATTGATTCTCCTGATTTATTCATAATAGTGATGCCTGTGGCTGAAGCTTTTCTAAGGAAATACACTATAATTTATTTTCCTTTCCTTCCTACCTGTGGTAATTTGAAATCCTATAATTTATCTCAATAGCTGTTATTTGTGACCATGTATATATAATAGCATATCTGATTATCTGACATAGATTTTCAGAGTTAGCACTACTGACTGAAGCTTGCTGGTTTCAGTAAATTGGGTCTGTTGGTTGGTCGGTCAGTCGTTTAGTTTTTTTAGCTTTATGAACTTTTTCTTGCATTAAAGGCAAGTAGGAGGGGTCACGTTATATTCTATAAGGTTTCAATCATTGATGTAAGAACCTTGGGTAAAAAATTAAGAGAGAAAGAAGAAGAAGGTAGGTAGGTATGGGAACTAAAGAATCAAATAAGAGATTGCATTTATGGTCATAGACTTCTACGCTCTTGAAGGAGAGTCCTTTAGCAAAAGGATGTTTGCCTTCTTTGTTGAGGATTTAATTCTACCTGTTCTCATGAAGCTTCCATAGGTGTGCTTTTCCTTTTTGTTGTAAATAGATGAGAAAGTCCTTCCCCACGTTATCTGCTTACAAAATACAAAATGGCATATTCTTTTAAAACTGTAAGATTTGGGTGACTAAATCCTGAGCTAGCTTTTATTTAACTTAGTTGGTGGCCACATCATTATAGCTTAAATATTCAAAACTGTCTATGGCTCCAACCAACAAAGTTTATCGCTCTATTTGAAAAGGAACTGTTCTACAAAGCTTTCCTTCTTGACACACTTTTATACAAATATTAAATATCCCTTTCTACTGGGGGCTGTTAGACATTTGAAATGCATTTGCTCTAAGACAGAGATTCCCCTCATAGGGGAGCTGCAGAAAGGAAGGACAGGCTACAGTGACCTTCACAGGAATGGGACCCCTCGGTGGGCCGGGTAGCCAGGCCTCAGCCCGGGGCCCCCTCTGCAGAGACCCTGTGCTTGGATGGCCTTGTTTTCTCTCTCTCAAGCCAGTTTTCTCTCTCTCTTTGACCCTTTGGTAGTCTATTGACTTCAGTCCTGCTTGATCAGCTTATCTTTAATGTGGAAAGGACACCCTGCTTTGTCTTTCTCTTAAAT